CTTGGCACTCTTAGGTGAGCAGACTTAGTCAGCCTGTGTTGCCCTAACAAAGAGTCAGACAGAAATCTGGTCGCCCAGGCCAGCTCAGCAGCAGCTTGTCAGGGCACACCATCTAGCAAGCTCAAGATCTTGTATTGAGGGTGAAGCTCCAATCTCAGTGTATCCCTGATGCCTAAACAACCCAATATTGAGCATACCGGAGCTCAGTTCAGGTTATCATGACACCAGGTGTAGTGAAGGGGAATAGTGAGGGGATGGTCAATATCATCAGACCATGTCAATATCCAGGAGCGCTAAGCATCTTGCATGCTATTGAGTGTCTCATGTGTTCTCAAACAATATTGTAGAGTCCTTGGCCATGAGGGGAAAGGGGAGTAGGATTGAGACAGAATCGAGGGCATTGGTAATCCATCAATCTGACCACTGGCCATAGACTGGATCTGCAAGCTGTTGACTTGCTGTCCAGAAGGGGTTTCATGAAGTGAAGAGGGGTGCAAGACTCTTGAATCAATATATTGTGAGGTGTTGAGAGACAGCTGCCAATATTGTCATGACTCTTGGAGCATTGGTTTGGGGAGTCATGGATATTGGTGGGGGTCAACACCAACTGATGGGGAATGCTGACTGGGCTTTGTCCTATTGTGCATATTGGCTGTCCATATAGTGGAATTCCAAGCATCAAGAAAGGCAGCACATAGCAAGCAAGAATATGATACTTGTCCATATAGAGGGGAATCGGCTGTTTGGCTGGGCCAAAGGTCCAATATCATCCCAAGATAGGGCTATCAACCAAAGCTCAAGTTGTCCAAGAGGAGGACTTGGCATATCAGTCAAGCAATTGGCTGCTCAGAGGGGTACAACAAGTAAATCAAGGTAATTGTGAGTGGAGGACGCTCTCTTGATGTTGATATTGAAGAGAGGGTCACACTCTCAAAGCACACTCAGCTTCTCAAGGGAGATCAGTCATAAGACCAGAATATTGACTAGACAGTGGAATTCCTGAGAGATCAAATCTAAGGAGTACATCACAATCATGGGCAACTCTATGTATGAAAGGGTCAGAAGCAGCTCAAGATTGTGGCTGATAATCTGTACAGGAGAGGTTACCTCAGGGCAAGCCTGTGTGGACTTGATGCCAAGATGGCAATACCATCTTGATATTATCAATGAGCCAATATTGTGAGAACTTGCTTCTCAATGCCTTCTCAGTCTTCAATATTGCCAAACCCTGATATTGTGACTTCTCCAAGTTCCCAAGCAATCCCAATAAGTGGTCCCTGACATGAGATTGCATGCAATACCACAGGAAGGTGGTCAAGATAGGAGTGCACCCTGGTATGGTTGCCAATCCATATTTGCAATACTCTTCGATATCATAATGAGCCTTGAGCAACCATATGATATGCCTGATTTTGTCTGCTTGCACCAATATGGCATTGCAATGCTTGCTGCTATCCTTGAGATGCTTGTCCTTAGCATCAAGATGCTTGTTGATAGCATTGATATTGCTTCAATCCAGACTGAAATGAGGTGACTCCTTACACAGCTGAATGAGGTGGGTTAACATTCACTCCAGAAAGGCTGGCCATACTTACCTTGAAGCTCATGGGCTCTCTGCACTTGCTCTACAGCTTGATGCTCACACAGGGCCTTGAGGGAAAGAGTATTGGGTCATCTCAGGTACTTAGTTGGAGAAGAGGTGGGCTTGGAAAGAGAGCTAGAGCTGGTGAGAGCCAGAGCAGACTGAGACTGGGAGAAAGAAAACAGGTCCATCCAAGAGAGGTAGCATAGTGCCTTGTGCTTGAGCTTGGTGACTGAAGGAAAGACATGGAGCTTGGGGGAACGAGAACTAGCACTAGTCCTAGGCCTAGAGGAAGCAGAAGAGTGTGCGGACATTAGGAGAGGGATGGTTGCACAGATGTATACATAGTATGAGTTTGCAGGAGGGAAACATCAGGAACAGTAAGCTCATGCTATGTCAAATCACATGACTGGGACCCTGCCTAGCTCATAGACATGTGTCAGATGATGGTCACGTGATTAATAATTCCACATGCTGAGACTGTGATACCTCTTGCTAGATCTCTGTCTAAATCCAGTGCTTGGGCATGGAATGGACCAGAGTGGGCACAACTGATGTGGGATCACTTGCGGGGTAGGTGGTATGTGGGATAACATAATGATGACTTCAACACATGCACACAGGGGAAGAGGTAAGAGAGTGATGGGTGACCATATGCTAGTTCTAGAGCTAGTTACAAGGGTAAGCAACATATTATTCTCAGTGTATCATCTTATGATGGTACCCACCCTCCTCAAAGCTCCAGTATGTGTCTAGTTTTAGGGCTAACTAGTATGAGAGTGACCTAAAGTGGATTCTACCTTGGACTCTTGGAATACAGTTCTGTGTGGTCAGCACTCCCATAGCTCTTCAGGTTAGGCACCTTCTCCTCCTCCACAAGAAAGGCCATATCTATGTGCTTCTGTGTGCAAGCTCTAGATGAGGGGAAGGGCAGAGCAGAGAGAGGAGAATCCAGGAAGGAGGAGAGAGATTATTGAAGTTAAGCTTGAGAAAATGACCCTGATATCTAGGGCAAGACCAAGATAGAGACTGCCAGCAGGAGTATGTGACATATGGCAGTAGAGATCCCTGACCAATACACAAGGGCATGTCTGTTGGCAGGGAGTGATGATGAGAAAGGTAGTATGTAGGTGTAGTAATGCACATGTCAGAGGCAATTTACCTCCATAATTTCCGAAAAAGGGAATTCTTGCCCTATGCACCTGCGTGATGTTAGGGTACTGGTTAGGATCCCATCCAGCAGGTTAGGGTGGGGTAGGGGTTAGGGTTAGGGTTGGTGGTAGGGTGATAATATCATATTTTTAACTAAGAGAATTATTTATCTTAGCAGTGCTATGGGCAAGGTGTCCATAGCATTGGTTTGTTATCAAGCTCTTTCTATATTTGGTGAAAGTAGGGTCTTTTGCCTCCGATCCGCATCAACCTACATGCTACTTTTGTTGGCAGGGCATCCACATTTGGAGGTCAGGGGCTGGCTCTGGATCACCCTGGAATACAGCTGGATTGCGTTTGGGGCCGGGTTCATGACGGGGACGGCCTCCGCCCCCACGCTAGATCTGGCTCCGATGGTGTGAGGGCCAGGTGCCCACACCTGGGCATATCCCTGTACGACTGTAGATGTAATATTCCACCTCCAGTATGTCCGACCAGCCGTCGACTTGTGATATTTCAGAGCCAGCCAAGGGGTCTGCCATGACTCAGCGGTTACAGGAGAGCTGGCAGTCACCTGTGAGCTCCCGCTCAGCTATCACGTCTGGCAGCACAGGATGCGCTAAACTCATCATGACTAGCCAAGTATCGACGAATTGCGTTTGCTGCAGTGCAAAGATGCCCAGAATGTCTGGGTTACGCACGTGCAACCCTTCCTGAAAGGCTACCAAATCTTCAAGCTGTTCGAACCGCGTTCGGAGACATTTCGTCCAACCATTCGTGAAATGCGATCCGACGATACCGTGGGTTACAAACTGAAGAAGGAACATGAGATACAAACTCAGACCGTAGTGAGTGTTTGTGGGTAATCTGAGGGTTCAACATTGATTGAGTGTTAGACCAGTCTTGGTCGCCCCGCTGAGCGGCGGGATGGCAGTAATACGTGGGTTTTCCTCAGACTTTCGACCATCGGTTCTCCCAAAGATGACGGGCATCATCTCGCTATACTGTCTCGCATCAAACAGAACGCCGGCCATTTCGCTAGAAGTGCCGTTGTACCCGATGAAATTCTCACATTGGGCGAGGGGGCTCACCAATTTTCGATCGCAGTGTTTCCGTACTTGTCGCCTTTACCCCATCTTGAAGGGCTCAAAGATGTACGGGAGCTTATGCACGTGAGTATTCAGCTTGTTGATGTAGGCAAAGTTCTCAACTTGAGGGGAGGACGTGCTGACAAGATTGATAGGCCATCGCCGTCTTACACACGTTTCGAATTGCGCATGGTGTAAGTGATTCGTTCAGCCGGGCTAAGGGGCGCTGATGACTTGACAGGATATCAACCTAAGCAACTTCCTTGTTAACACAGTCGGCCCAACTCCTTTCAAGCCTGGATGGCAGTCCACGTTCCCTTTCCAAGTTCTCATAATCGATTTCGAAACTGGCGTGTTGTAGAATCTTGAAGAACCCTATGAATCTTGCGTTCGTGTGGGTCCGGTACACTCACAGCACAAGAGGGAATGCGCGCCCGAGGTCGGCACTGGTGACGAGTATAATGCCTTCCAGGCTGACATGTTCCAACTGGGCAAAGTATTGTCCGAGCTATGGGACAACCAGGTACACGTCACCGCTTTCCATCAATACTCGTCATGTGTTAAGACCTCTGCAGTCTGTTCAGTGTGCGGCCGTTGAAGCAATAGTCAAGAAACTACTTGACCGAAACCCAACAAGTCGTCCACGAGCGAATACACTAGTGAACGATCTGTGGTTCATTGAACGAGAGCTGAGTCGGAGTGGAAGGTTGGGATTGCCCATCCCCTCTGAATTAGGCAATAGGTTGGACTTGGGTTAATTGTATCGCCTTTGGGAATGATGATGTGTGAGGCAATCAGGAAGCCAAACTATGTTCACCCTCCACCCCGTCACAATAGCCTCCGTACCACAGTACATAACATCACACTGATAATATCATTGTTCTCAACAAGATGAAGCTGAGTAAGGGGAACAGCACAGAAGTGTCACGCGCACGGTTTGAGGCTGTGCGTGTTCTGTCGGATAAACTACCGGGGCCGGACGGCGCTGGCTCTGCGGCAGGCAAGCCCGATTTGGCGCCCATCCGCTCTTATGATCCCTCTCTGGTGTGTACATTGTTGGCTACCAACTCTATCAGTATTGAATGTTGAACTTTCGGGATAATGCTACTGTCGAAACATAGTACTGATGCTTCGAGAAGCCAACAAGTGACCTCCACCAGTATCTGAGGCGTGAACCCGCAAGTTCCGGGAATTCTAGCCTGCGCGTTCCGCCGACTTTGCGAGGTTTAAACTGTTCCGCAATCACTATTGCTATGCCAAGGCGTACGTTGGTATTACCGGGCCCGGACTGCGTGACAAAAGCACGAGCGCATCGGTGGCTCGTGACTTCCCGCCACGCCCGATGCGGGCGGCACCCGGAGGGTATTTCCTAAGTGAGTGACCCTCTCTCTGGTACTGCGCACGAGATATGATGCCAAACAGGGCAATTGAACCTGTGAACGCCTCTTTGTACCGCTGACCTCCCTTGTTCTAGTACCTGCTCCTTACTCATTACAGCGGACCAAGATGCTTGGGCCCGCTGCGGCCCGCCCCGCATGTGACCCCCATCCCGACGCTATAAAGACTACTGGTGAGGGCGAACAAGACATGTTAACCATCTAGCTTCCTCAAATCGAGTCCTACCTTGGACGACTATCATCAATACAGGCAAGAGAACATTGGCAAACGACACTGGGAGATGTACACATACTATTTCCCCCCTACATTCAACTACGGCCCTGGACCGGTCCCCACCCGTGGAGGATCATCCGACAGCCAGCAGGAGTCACACCCGGCTCTCACTAGGCAGCCATCAAGCCACCCCCATCAGCACTCTCACCACCACCAGCCTCAGCCCTACGTCTTCGCCCCGGCTCCAGTGGTTCATCACCCACATGCGTTCGCACCTCCCCCGCCGTCCCCACACGGCTTTCCCTATCCCTTCGGCGGACCTGTGCCCTTCCCTCCGGGGGTGACGGCTGTCCCCCTCCACCAGCTACTCGCCCAACTCCAGCGCGGGCAGGAGGCACAAGAGCCTCGCGAGACGAAGGAGGGTCTGTTTGTGCACGACATGTCCTCTGACAGCGCACCCGAGCCTCGCACAGAGCTGCATCGTACCTCTGCCATTAGGCGCAAGACGGAAGACGAGCGCTTGGCGGAGATCGAGGCTGAGCGCACTCGTTTGCTTGCGCGCAAGGCGGAGAGGGAGGAACGCGAGCGCCAGAAAGCCGAAGCGGAGCGTCAGCGTGCGGCTGAGGCTGCAGCGGCTATGGAACAGGAGGAGGAGAGGCAGCGCGCTAGGAGGGTAGCGATCGCCAACCTCCAGGCTAAGGAGAGGCAGCGGAGGATGCAGGCTGAGGCCGAGGCCGCTGCAGAGAATCAAGAAGAAGGCGATGGCGAGAAGTACAAGGTCGATTGGCCGACTCTCCTTGGCGAACTACTCGGTTTGTTCATGGGCGAGGGAGAGGAGGCTCAGCTCCCTCTCCAGCCGAAGCCTGAGGAGGAGAACAAGGCGGTACCTGTTACACCTCAGCCAGCGGCTACTGTACCCAAGCCTGCTGCTGCTGCTGCTGCTCCCAAGCCAGCGCACCACAAGTCGTCTCACAAAGCGCACAAGGCAACTGCTTCCCAAGCAGCTGCTCCCAAGAAGGTGCCCGCGCCCCCACCCGTACCCAAGACTGCCTCCGTCCTGAAGGTCGTCCCAGCTCCCGCGCCCAAGGCGCCTGTGCCCGAGCCTCAGCCTGAGCCGGTGCCCGCTACACCTGCTACTGAGACGCAGCCCGAAATCGTACTGCATCACGTACAGTTGCTGCTAGCCGCGTTCGACCGTCTGACGCGCAGCTTCGCCTTCCCACGCGTGCTGAACTTCGTCGACACACCTACTGCAGCCTCTGCCTTGCATCCCCACCTTGGCTTCGCGGCACCTAACGCACCAGTGCACACATACGAGCAGGCGCTCATCGCCCTTCTCGGCGAGCTGGACACGATCCCCTCCTCTGACAATGCAGAAGTGCGCAAGGCCAGAAGGGAGTTGGCGAGGAAGGTAGAGAAGGAGTTGACCTGGCTTGAGGAGGAGGTTCAGAGGGCCTACGAGAGGGAGAAGGCTGTTGCTACCCCGGAGCCGGAGGCACCGGAGCTCGCCGACATTGAACAACCTGGAGGGGAAGAGCTGGCGAGCGACGAGCAGGTGGCGGAAACGAAAGCTGCGTTGGACGTATTCCTGTCCCAGGATCCTACCGTCGAAGAACAGCCCAATATCGCGGCTCTCGAGGCGGAGGCGATGATCGCAACCGCTGAGGCAGAAGACGATGTCCCCACGATCTCGAGCATCGAGCCTGCTACGGCACCCGCCTCTGTTCCCGTTACGGCGCCTGCGGATGTCCAATCCCAAGAAGAGCAGGTGATCATCGACCAGCCACGGAAGGAGAAAGAAAATATCTCTCTGGAAGAGGAGATACACATGAACGCACCTTCGGACAACTACGAGTTCGTACAAGCCGGCACCGCCGCAGAGCTGGAGAAGACGGAGCCTATGGAGCCTGAGATCGAGGCTGCTGCTCCGAAGGAGCGTACTGTGGAGCTGCCTACCGGGGCGGAAACAGAGGCGATGGCCGCTGCCGCAGAGGCGGTCGATGTTCCACCATTGCCCGGCACCGCTCCGGCTGGTCCGCCCGTCGTTCCCCCTGCTATGGAGGCTCCTGACGTGCAGATAATGCAGGAGCAAGTCCTTATCGACCTTCCAAAGAAGGAGCAGGAGATTAGTGCGATGGAGGAAGAGGTCCAAATGTCTGCTCCTAATGGCACTTATGAGATGGTCGAGCCCCATTAGTCGTATGTACTTGCATGTACGTTATGTGTTGACAGTTTGTGTATATTGATAAGGAATTATATGTTCTCAACTCATCTCCTGATCACTTGTATCTGTTCAAAGCTTCTTGAAGTGGAAAGAGGTTCGCAAGAGATAAATTATTCGTTTTCGATTGAAAGTGAAAAGCCGCGTTGTGTGTGATAGGTATCTCCTGCCATCGATTATACTTCACGAGATACACGCTACGTACTATCATTTGCCTGCTGGCAACACGACACGCTACATCACGTCTCATCAGCGGTATGGTTCATTCGGGAGATGACATAGGAAAGAGCTGAACACGGAGATTCCTTATCTGTGTCAACTTTGGCCTGACACACTAACAACCTCGATTCGCCATGCGGACCGGCGTACATTCTCTAACTTCATGAGCATAGGTATCTGAGAAGTTCTCAATGAACGGCCTATGTCTTGAGACGAGCACTCTGTCCGTGTTCACCTCTCTCTGTCACTATCTCCAGATGCTTTCGATCGCCTTCGTCGTCGTCCTGATTGCACATCTGTGTACGGCCCTTCCGGTACTGGAGACGCGTTGGCTCCACTATCCGGTTACACCGCGGGTTGTCCTTATTTCGATGTTCTGTCCAGAGCAGCATGTTTGGCTGGGCCGCTCCAGCTCACAGTCCAAAACATCTCCGTGCCAGGCTTATCGCCCCTGTATCCGGGTGTTTGATGCGATGCGAAGGGCTAGATCTGCCCGATGACGACAGGGGAGGCAGAAATCAACGCCGCCGCCAGTACCACAGCACTCTTCTTCTCGAGTTTGTTCGATTTTACGAAGACGTACTTCCTTATTGCCGGCATTGGAGGTGGCAATCCTTATCGTGTTACGACTGGAAGTGCTGTGTATGCACGATTCGCTATCCAGAGTGCTCTGCGGGAAGCGCCGTCAAACTGGACGACCGGCTACTGGTATCCTGATGAGATCTGACACAATTTGATACTGATGGCATCGCAGGGCCTTTGGGACCTCAGCATCATTTCAGTACCCCGGTTATAACAATTGGTACGGCACGGAGATATTTGAGCTCAAACACCAATCTATTGGCGCGGGTGATGGACCTCGCGAAGGACACGATACAGCTCAGGCTGCCGCATATCGTAAGTTTCATTAAGACGGAAGTGACATGCATGACTGACCAAGCTGAAGGTGCTCAATGGGACTTGCCCCTGCCAACTCACCTCCCACAATCGTTCAATGTGATGTCACGACGTCGGATGTTTGGTTCACCGGCGAGCTTCTCTGAAACACCATGGAAAACATCACGAGTGGTTGGACGAATGGTACCGCAAAGTACTGCGCGAGTGCCGAGGAAGACAACGCGACCCTCAGGTCAGCCCTCCGCACTGCTATAGCTGGCCGAATTGATTTTGCGCGGTTCATATTGTTGCGAACTGTAGTCAACTTTGATCGTGCTCCTCCTGGATTGACAACCTATCAAGCAATAGAAGAAAATGAGCAAGGGTTCGAGATCGGACTTCAAAACTTCCTCATGGCCAGCTGGCCAGTTGTTAAGGAGGTACTGTTTGTTTCCGGGCCGCAAAGACCTGATACAGATGACACCTCTCAGATTGTATATGACTGGAAGAACTGGGAGATAGGTACCCCTCCCCCGATAAACGATACCAGCTACGGTGACGTGTTCGGAATCTTGCGCACGAATGGCACTGGCACGCTTTCGCATGGCGTGGGCACGGACCTCAACACGACGGAGAGCAATCTGTCGCGCCGATCGTAGGATATCGCGAAAATGTCCATTATGTATCACGAGTCTATATCAACAGGGTATGACTGTACAGATGCGGTATTACAATGGATTCTCACATGTGGATATACAATATGTTATTTGAATTGCCCAGTGCCCTTCCTATGTGTTCACCAAAAATGCCGGGGATCTCTCGCTTTCACAGTTTCTAATCTCTGTAATGAACATTAGCACTATATGGGACGTCGACAGCATGCTTGGGCGCACCTCCCGGATCACAATCTTGATCGATGGTCTCCCTTCCGATGAGCTAAAATCCATGCTCCTGCTCCCTCCGCTGGGAAGCGCACTACGCACGTCGCTCTCAGCCCTCCGGTGGTTCGCAGTTGAGGGCGGATCTAGGAAAGGGTCTTCCTCCTCGAAGGGAGGCAACACCGTCACACCAAGGCTTGCACGCCTCATTGGCCGAGGTACAGACTTGCCCTTTCGAGGAGATGGCGATGCGGCAGGTGATATTGTCTCGGCCAGGCTGGGGGTACTATGGACTGCCTCCGGAAGCTGGACATAGCCCTCTGTGTTGGGTCCAGACCGTTGCCGCGAGGTACTGGCGCTTTCCATGCCCAAACGCTCTAGGTCGCGTTCGACAGCATCTAATTTCTCCAGATGTTCAAGCACATCAATGCCGGTGACACCAGAGTATCCGCCGGATGCCCGCTCATACTTCCCAGCGAATGGTACGGGTCGAATCGGTAAGTCGGTCTGTCGACGGGGCGAGCGAGGCGGGAACTCCATGCTTCTCCGTCCCACTTGAGCATTCGGAAAGCTCTCGCTACGATGTCTTGAGTGTCCAAGGAGCGGGGGGATAGTCTTGCCCGGAGGAGCAGCAAGGGCCATGAGAAGTTCATCTTTGCTAGCATTGGTAGGGACTTGTACGTCATCGTCCCAAATAAGAACTTTGGTGCGTCGAGTAAGCTCGAGGGGACCTTCGTCGACATGCTGCAAGCTTTGGACAATATTCCAACCCTGTCCTTTGATTACTGCCATTTGTCGCTGCAAAAAAGTAAGCGGGAGCCCGTAGTGTACCTGAATACCACATGAACTCACATTGAACAGTTTCTCGTTGAAATCCGGATCAACTGCCATTATCTTCCTCAACTCGGACCTTGTCTCCGCCCACCATTCCGCGCTGCTGAGCAGTGGCAGCAGCTGCCTCCTCGTTCGCTCGCTGAAAGGCCGACCAATGATCGCAACAGGCAAGAAAAGCCAGCCATATGGATAACTTCTCCATCCTCTCGGATGCTGGTGTGGGAATGAGAGCGAGTTGTCGATCGCGGCGATATGCATATGAGGGCGGGCCGTGAATGGCTCAAGCTTGGAAGAGGAAGAGGCGGAAGGGTTGGGTGAGCCGTCTGCGCCGAACGCGGCCGCTTGCCTCATTTGAGGCGTGGAACTCGGTGTAGCGTTGGGCACTCTCATGGGGAGTTGAGGTCCGAAAGAACGAGAGGGGGCAATGTTGATAATGTCCTTCTCATGGTCTGCTTCACAATATTTGATCATCTATTTCCCGAGTCAGTGAACGTTTTCTCTTGTTCATAACACGCACAAAGTTATCCAGTCCCCGATCCGTATTCCTCATCAAGTAATCCAGGACGACTAGTCTTTCCAACTCGTCCTGGAAACTTGCGACATTCTCTTGGGTCCAAGCGAACCCATTCTGCCCTTGTTCCTCCATCTCCCTATATCCCTTACTCTGCTCTTCCGCCCATTCCTCATTCTCCAGCTCATGCAAGTCGCCTGCTCGCCCACAGACGAGACCCATCGCACTCCAAAACCTCTTCGTGATCATGCCCGTTCGGTGAGCTTCGTAATCGTAGTTGTCCCCTAGCGGGTGTTGCCGGAAATATTCGGAGGCGTCACGGTAGCCGTGCATGAACGTCTGTAGAGAGCCGATTTTGGGCGGAAGGGCCTTGCCCTGTCGATACGCAGACCGGTCGATCCAATCGTAGAAAAAGGACGGGCTGCTGAGAGAAGCGAGGCCGGTCTGGGGGACAATGTACAGGTGCAGACGCTCGTCAAGCAGGCAAGCGGCTGCCTCTGATATATAGGATAGATTCGGGATCAGGCTACATCCAAGTTTAGTTGCTGTTGCAACGCAATATATGTGTGCGCTTACCAGGCTCTCCCCCAGCCGATCCACCAGAAGAAGTTGCGATGAAGCCACTTAACCAGTTTCGGGTTCATCTTGCCATACGGTTCTTCATCCTTAGGCTTGAACACACCGACAGTCTTGATCTGCCCATCGACCTTCGCACGGGCAAAGTAAGACCCAGAGGACCCCTTGGATATCATCTTCGGATGAACACCGTCATCGATGGCCGCTTTGAGAGCATCCACCAGCCTGCTTCATATAAGCGCTCGGGACTGACCAGAAGAGTCGAAAGCATACTGGTCAAAATCCTGCCTCGTTTTAACCGGTTCGTGATCCAGAGTCTTCCTAGGATCCTCCTTCCACTCTGCCACACCAACCGGACCAAACACACTGAAGGCAATCTCCTTTTTCTCCGATCCATCAGTAACGCTCTTTCGCTTGCGCTTTATCTTCTGGGATATCGAGTCCGTCCATCGCTTGAAACCCGAGTCGAGCGCGGCGAGGTTGACCGTGAGCCTGCCGGGACTGATGGGGGAGCGTATGGAAGGCTCGGACCTGGTTGCTGCCTGTGCAACAGACGGTCCTGCTTCGCCCTCCTCGGGGTCCTCTATGGACTGAGCAAGTCTCCGATACTCGGTGGGCATGATGCCTAGTCAAGCTATGAGTCGAGGGGCATATACGCAAAATTCGTCGTCGCCGTCGTTGTCCGTCAGCAAAGAAAGTGGCGTTACGCCATGTGGCCGATGACATGTTCGGAATCAAAGTGATCCGTGCCAGACAAACGGGTACATTTGGACAGGCGGAGGCAATTCTAGGATCAGGAATGGCTGCAACAAAACGCATAATAACTGTGCCTTCGTATTGGCAAATTATAACTTTGACCTTCACCCTGATCTCACTTACTACCAAACCACGCGCAAATAGGCACTTCTAGTCTGCGCCCGCTGTTGGCACAACCGAGTTCTTTCGGTGATCCTACGATCCACGTTGCAACATCGATGGATACACTCCCGTTGGAACTCGTTCAGCAAATCTTGCGAGAAGCTACAGCTGTACCGTATGCGTTTCAAATCCACTTGGGATCCATGAGCCGCGAATGCGAGGTGTCAGGTTACACAAGCTGCGATATCCAGGCTTTGCGGGAAGAAGTTTTTGCCTCCATGCAAACGAAATGCTCCATCAGTCTCGTGTCTCGAACATTTCGCACCTTATGCGTACCATTTCTCTACGAGATCGTCCTCGTACTTCGTCTGGAATGCGTACCCTTGGTTGCCTCAGAGATCAAAGAAAACAATCAGATGGTACCACGAATGGCTGGTGGTGTCGTCGCCTTCTAGTCCAGGTTTCACACTAGGATATACCGTGGAGGTCGGGCCGAGCTGACCTCTGGGGCCTTCTCTCAGCTTGTCCTCGCTTGGTCAGTCTCCGCTGTGATCTGCGATATCGCAATCCTCTATTTAATCGGGAATTCCGCAAGCAACGCTTCTACTACCCATCCATCCGGTTCTTCGAGCTCATTGTTGCCATGTATGGAAACCAATTACGCGTTCTGGAGCTCGGCGATCATATCCCTGTTCAGTTGGACTTTCCACAGCACTTCTTATCGCATCTGCCTTATCTCGATGTGTGTCGATTGGGACGCCTATTGGCTCCACCACCCTTTCATGCCAATGAAGACGACGATAAAGAAGAGGATGAAACACATTCCACCGCATCATCCTCTGACGCCTACGACTCCGCGACACCTCAGTGGAAGGCGGAGTATAACGACAACCCTCGTTTCACCTCATTTCCGAAGAATATGGGAGCCGCGCCTATCTGCTTGACTCGGCTTGTCGTCCTGGAAAGTCACGTATTCGCACCTCAAGTGAGCCAGTGGCAGCTCCCTGCACTGCGGGAGGTCATCACTGCATTTGATGACGCCTATTGGGCAAACGATGTCCCTCCGGCGCTGCGCACAGCATTGGCGCCCCACTCCGCAGGTCTCACTCACTTCACTTATGTGTCTGGCCCGGAGATCAACATCTGGGGTATCGTCGATGCTCTTCCATCGCTGAGATTCTTGCGCACATCCAGTCGAAACCTGGCTGCCAACTATTTCCAGGTCTATCATCCCCACCTGGATACAATCGTCGCCGTGCGAAACAGTTCATTAGACGGCAATTTCGAGACGCCTCTAAGATTGCTTGCGACCATTCTTCCGAATGCATTGCCGGCTCTCCGTTCAGTGCGTTTTGTGGGCGGAAAGGATGTGGGTCTCACCGAACAGAAAACGCGGCTGGAGTTCCTTGGTGTGACAGTTACCTGGAGTTGATTAAGGACTCATTTGTGACACGAGCAGCGTCAAGAGGAATGAGGATGTACGTCCTCTGGGAGTGGTCTTACGTCACAAGAGCCCGCATATCGGATGATGCTGTTGACGGCTGAAAGTGGATTGGTACCTCGCCGTTGCAGTTTGTATGCACACAGCAGTACTGACGAATGGGGGAGACTTCTGAAGTCGTTGGATAGTCCGTTCTGGTCGGGATACCAGGAGATGATTGTTCTAGCTATAATAAATACATTCTGTAACGTGAGCTTGCGCGCTACCGATGTGCTGTAACGTCCCGTCATCCCGTGTCCTTTGTTCTCTGTGCTGAGAAAGAAGGAGAACAAAGGGCATGTGCACGCACTTGCTCGGATAACAATGTTCGTTCACTTTCAGATGTCCCGGCAGCGCACTTCCTTTTTTGCTGGGCTTATCATTGTACCAAATAATAGTTCACTGCACTGTGCATTGGCACTGAAGTTCAGTCCCTTCAGGAGTCCCCCGGGTCATGCCAATCATGACCTAGGGCAGTGAATTACCTTGTGTGGAGCTGAAAACCGTATCTATTTTATTAACTTATTTACAAGCCCCGAACCGAACTGTCACAGTACCCACATGTAATTCCTTACCAAAAGCATTCAAATGTCATTGTTCGCTGAAAATCATACAAGAGCTGGAATAAGGTGCTTGAAGCACCGATGAAGCAGTGATATCTAGTCCCTACGACAACAAAATCCAGGCCAAGCGGGCTCGAAATATCTTACAGAGACTGGAAATCATGTTAATATGTACACAACGTAAATCTACAATCAGGTACTTACTTAATCCGAATTCTCATTGTCAGATTCACTTCCAGCCAAAAGATCCGCAAGGTCCTTGTCACTGTTCTCGATATCGTCATCATCGAGCTGTACTGCAGCTCGCTCCATGGCTTTATTGGATAAAATGCTTCTCACCGAAGGCCGAGGGGCTACAGCTGGGCCCGGGGTTCCGGACCCAGACAGGTGATGTTCATCGTGAGCTTTTTTCGAGACCAAGGATTGCTTGGCATTCCTCATGTATGACTTAACAATGGCCCTGGTGGCCCAATCATTCTCGAACCATTGCAAGTACGGAATCTTGTGTCAAGCCTACTTAAAGGTAAATACATGTTGTCATTTAGCACGGAGGACGGTACTCACTTCCTTATATATCTTCACCATCACCTCTGGGTGGATTTCAGTGATGGTTTTGTCTCCACAGACATTGTACTTGTTGCTGATCTGTCAGACTTGTTGCTGTAGAAGAGCTTGGGTTAGTAGGTAGCTATAATAGCAGGTAAGAGTGGCTTACCCAAATAGAATTGTACTCACTCTTGTTCCCAGAGAGCCCCATCTCTTCCTGCAGGCAATATCCACCTGCCCCCTTATGACCAGGTTGCCCCGAGGGCTTAGGCATGACCTTCGGAGGCAGAGGTGCCTTGTGCTTTGCCAAATAGGGAAAGTCAAAATCCATCTCAATGGCTGCTGATGAGGGTCAGTTCCAAGCTGACAGGTGTCTAGGGTGGGGCTGCTAGGAGCTCATTGACTGTTTTGGTGGAAGGGGAATTTGGTGGAACTGAGAATGATCAGGATATATACTGTGCATGCAGCATAATGTTACTCACTGAGGTTCTTGTCCATACTCATTGCTCCCAGCACGGTGTGCATCACAGAGTTATCATCAATATCTATCATATTGTGATGTCAGTAAGATGAGAATGTATACACCAAAGGCACACCCACCATCATCTGGTGAGCAAATAGTTGAGGCTCTCTGGGATGACAAACCAGTCCACATTATCAGTGGTAGACATAGTCAAGGAAAGGTATTGGAGGTTCTTGTAGAGAGGGAGGGGGAGTGTGGTGAGTGAACACTGTAATCAGTAGTTCACTTGAGAGGGGTATGAAACTTGTTTTCTTCATGCATGTACAGCTACTTAGAGTGCCTGAGTAGTGCTTGCAGAGGACTCAGTTTGGGGAGGAGGGTAAGGAAGAGTGTTGTCTTGCATGCTAGTTGAAAACCTTGAAGCCAAGACACCCAGTACTGTGTGTGTGTCTGGCACCAGAGCTGTCCCTTGTGCAAGGTATGTGCTCTGG